CACACACACACACACACACACACAAACACAAGCCCGCCCACTCCGTGGTTGTGCACGCGTGTACGTGTCTTTGCGTGTGTTCATGCACGCAAGGGTTGTCGTGTTCGCTATGCATAACTACACAAAAAGAGCATAAGTGAGCCAGACTGTTTCGTCGAACTTTCACCAACTCATCAGGAGGTTGAACCCCAACAGTCTCCCCACGATGCATTTCCAAGCTTGCGTGTGTGCGTGTGTTCGTGCGCCCATGCGATGTCATGGCGGCTAACTCCACAAAAGAAGGCAGTGCGGGCAAGCCCTCAACCCAACGGGCCTTTGGACTCAACTACGGCCAGGGTGCCGCCCTGCAACGGGCAAATGCCCGATAGGTACGGGTGTTTCCTTCCCTACGGGCCCGTGCAGGCCCTCTTCTCAACGGGCACGACAATCCATGTCGTCCGCGGTCCTACCGGCCACACGGTTCAGATCATTGCGTGATCTTGAGACTTTACGATCGTGCGACAATGCAGGCTGTCAACCCTGGTGAACGGCCAGGATCATCGCGTGATCTTTAAGTCTTCAACCACCAGTACTTGGCCCATACATCAGCCGCGGCCTTTCACCGTTACCACACCGCATTCTTAGGGGCTCAGGGGGGGAGGGTCGGAAGCGCAATGGGGGCCGAAGGTGGTGGGCCCAAGGAGAACTGCCACATGGACTGCAATACTTCCTCTTGGTTTCCGTGCATGTGGAAACATGCACGGACGCTGTGTGCAATGCCGTAAAAAAAAAGAGAAAGGAAACCTGCAAGGATGTGAAAAGAAAAACGAAAAGTCACGTTGGCATGTATCTGGACGCAGTTTTGCCCTGAAGCAAATGACGACTTGAGTGCTTTTTTTTTTTTTTCTCTTTTCTCAGCAAGAGAGATTCCTGGCAGTTTCTCACCCGACTTCCCGTGAGAAACGGGGATCATTCAAGTGCCTGCCACGAAAGGAACGTTTGGGGCACTTTCCCGTTGGCGTTTTTCTATTTCTTTTTCTTCTTTCAAAAAAAAGGAAAATCAAGAAGAATCTCGGCTGTATCCCATGTGCCCCAAGGGAAAGCACTATGCCAAGAATGTGTCCTCCCTCAGTTGTGGCCAGATACTCATGAATCTGAAGGCAGTAGTGTAGCCATCATTCTTTCCCGTTCTTTCTTTTTTTTGCAACTAAAACAAAAGAAACCTGGGGTGTGGGCCTCGCTCCGCTACTCTCGACATGTGCAGAACGAAAGTGAATCTTCCACAAGAACATGGAAATATACACCGCCTTAATTTTTGTCTTTTGTGCATGTCGAGAGTCGTCGAGTGAGGCCCTATGAAAAAAAGAACGAGAGTGAATTTTCCCACCTTTGTTCTCGTTTTTGTCACAACAGAAAGGAGGAAAAAAAGAAGAATCTCGACAGTATCTGATTGTTCTCACAGGGAAGCATTGAAGTCCTGCCACCAATGCAAGATCAGGCAGTCTCAAGCGTGCGCCTTCCAGAATGTATCCGACTCCACTTCAGACCAGGCCTGGGGTGGTACAGAGTGAAAAAAAGGGAAGTAAAGCCTGTTCTGTTCCTCCTGCTGGCAGCAGGTCCAGAATAAGAGGCGGTACCAGTGCCAGCCAACAGACGTCCCGAATCGGTTCCCGACCCCCACAGGCTCGGAAAAAAATGGCGCGCAGGTCGATTTCAGGCTAGCTGAGCGAAGTACTGGTGGTTTAAGATCGCGTGACGATCTGAACCATCGGGCCGATAGGACCACGGGCGGCCTGGATCGTCGTGCGATATTGAAGTCTTAAGATCACACGACAATCCGACAATCCGAACCGTCGCGCCAGTAGGACCGCGGACGGCCCCGATTGCCCAATTCTCACGGTAGGGATTTCCATAAGTGTAGGGAAGCCCATCGAACAATAAAAGAGTAAAAGTACTGAAAAATGATCAGTTTGATGATTCACCTTCAGTCGGCTGATTTAGAACTTAGAATTAAACTAGGCTACAAAAGAAGCCCGGGACGTCTCGCTCGACCAGGCCACCTGGCCGTACCAGCCCCAGTGTGGGATGCCATGGCGTCTCTCTCTCTCTCTCTCTCTCTCTCTCTCTCTCTCTCTCTCTCTCTCTCTCTCTCTCTCTCTTGCTCTCGCTCTGTGTGTGTGTGTGTGTGTGAGTGTGTTGTCCGGTTTGACATGCCAACTCCACAAAAAGAGCACGACTCTGTGTGCCTTGTCATGTTGGTTATACACGAGTCCACAAAGAGGCATGTCTCTGCCTTCGTCGGACTTCTGGGCGACTTATCAAGGGGTTGAACCCCGACTGTCTGCCCAGGATACATTTGACTTAATGGATAAGGACTCACCACATCGCCCAGAGTCAGTGATACCCCCCTGAGAAAAGCGGTCCACTTTACCCCTGAGAAAGGTGGTTGACTTAATGGATAAGGACTCACCACGTCACCCAGCCCTGCAGTCGTAGCAGACTGTGGGTCCAAACCCCTGACAAGAATGGCAGTAAGTCTGAGAACCTAGTCTGACCTCAACTCCTTTTTCAAAAAGGGCGACAGCCTTGAGATACCATCATTGAACTGATGGGCCCCAGGTAATTCAGAATGATTTTATGCTGGTCATCTGATGTTTTATCTGGCTTCCATCTTGGGTCTGTATTTCAATATAGTTCGTGGGTGTACCAACTGCGCTACATCTTTGTTTATGCTACTCACTATTAGTTTAGTTTTGCTTTTATTTCATTTTGTCACCATGAATGGAGGTCATTTAGTACCAATGCTTGGCAATCTTTTATTGAAATGATTTATGAATTCGTTCTAAACTTAGTCAACGAACAAATAAGTGGTGTACCAGCACCGGTAGGCCCGTTGTTAAATCAGTCATCATAACTGTATTCAATCAAACCACTAAATTCAGATCGTTCCTTATATTCAGTTCGCCCCAAGCTAAGTCGGGATCTTACCAGTGTAGACGGTAACGAGCATACCATACCTTTCCCGGGCTAGGTCCCACTTGCACGAATTAAGAGATGCTGACCGTAGATAGCAAGATCAACGGCCGAAATCTCCTAATTTGCGCAAGTGGGACCTTGGGCCCGGGCCTGTCCTGGTAGTGGCCTGTGGAGCCTTGGAAGGTAGCTTTGTTCAAATAGGCTTGTCTGAACTACCGTCTTCCCCCGAATTTGGTGCAACTTTCAGACTAGATACAGCGAATTTGGTGCAACTTTCAGACTAGATAGAGCGAATTTGGTGCAACTTTCAGACTCGACATACAGCGACAATGACCGGGCGTTCTATTCGGGTGAAGACGGTAGTGGTTCAAGCTCTAAATTTTGTAAATGCACAGGTCGGGTCAAAATAAAATATGACAAGAAGAGTCGGCTGATAATCACAGATCGCACAGAAGTGAGTCATGAAGGTTGCCCGCAGAGGCCCGCACACCACAGGAATATCAAGGTGGGGTGGGCGGGGCTGCTTCTTCAAAATCAGGCGAGAAGAACGACTGCCCGTCTCTGTGTGACCTGCTGAGCAGTGAGTGATGAAAAGAACGACTGGCCTTCTGTGTGGCCTGCTGAGCAGTGAGTGATGAGGGTGGGCCACAGGCCCGCACACCACAGGAATATCGAGGGTGGACGGGGCAGGAATATCGAGGGTGGGCGGGGCTGCTTCCCGAGAAGAACGACTGGCCYTGTGTGTGACCTGCTGAGCAGTGAGTGATGAGGGTGGGCCACAGGCCCGCACACCCCGCGGGAATATCGAGGGTGGACGGGGCTGCTTTGCCACCTTCAGGCGAGAAGACCGACTGGCCCTCTGTGTGACCTGCTGAAGATGGGGTGTCATGCATGCGCAGGTTCGCCGCCGAGTACGGGACGGGAGGGGACAGCGCGCGAGAACAGTCAACCTGCAGTGGCTGGGCAATCCCCAGTATCAGATACTGTAGCGGGTCCTGTGTCAGGAGCAGGGAGGACAGGCGAGGCAGCGCTACATCCTCCTGGGTGAGTACTCCCAACCCACGAAGCCTGATCGTTGATGCAAGTAATGGAAATTTTGACCACCGTAGATGTCGATAGTCCTTGAGCGCTCAACGATTCAACGATCTGAAATGAAGTCCCGTCGCCAATGCAGTGAATCCAGGGTGTATGTAGAGGAAGACTTCCCCCCTCACCAACCAGTGTTCCAATCACATACGACAAAAATGGACTACCAGCGAACACTCTGCACGGAACTCGAGGAATCAATTAAAAATGGTTTTCAATCTATCCGGGCTTTCCTGCTGATTAATTCATTGTTAGGCAGCGAGGGAGATGCTGGCAGAAAGAGAACAGTATGTGAAGCTGTCCATTTCTCATGCACTTCTCTCTCTCTCTCTCTCTCTCTCTCTCTCTCTCTCTCTCTCTCTCTCTCTCTCTCTCTCTCTCTCTCTCTCTCTCTCTCTTTTTAAGTACACAGCCATGTATCCGTTCGCCTTCCCGACTTACTGTAATTCTTGCGAATTTGTTTTGTTTTGTTTTTCCTGTCATGCTTTTCGGAGGTGCCTTTTTTTTTCCCTAAAGTGCGACACCGTCGAGATATCATCTTTGAACTGACCCGTGCCGTTTGAAAAATACAGACCTGAGTTCGAATCCAGGTTGACCCGTGCCGTTTGAAAAATACAGACGTCTGAGTTCGAATCCATCCAGGTTGAATCAGGTATAAATTCAGAGTTATTTCGCTCATCTGATTCAACCTGGATTCGAACTCAGGTCTGTATTTCAAAGGTTCATGCGTGTACCAAAACTGCGCTATATGTTTACTTTCGCCTGCTTCCTTTCTGTGGCTTTTCTTACCCTTTTCGCTTAAACCTTACCTTCTCATTTTTCTGTCCTTCTAGAAACCAAGCCGCGCGTTCCAGAGAGGACGTGGTGGAGTCGCTTTCTTATGAAGTCTCATTTTTCTGCTTTTTTTTCCCCTCGACACCCCTGTCTTTTGACTCTCTTTCTCTCTCTCAATTCTTTGCCGAGATCTCTCTCTCAATTCTTTGCCGAGATCTCGGCAAGGAATTGAGAGAGAGAGAAAGAGAGAGAGTCAAACGACAGGGGTGTCGAGGGGGGCGGGGGGGGGGAAGCAGAGAGACAGAAAGAGAGAGAGTCAAACGACAGGGGTGTCGAGGGGGAAAAAAAACAGAAGCAGAGAGACAGAAAGAGAGAGAGAGAGAGAGCGTGAGAGGGAGAGAGAGAGAAGTAGGAGGAGAGAGTGAGAGGGGGGAGAGAGAGAAGCAGGGAGAGAGAGTGAGCAGGAGAAAGAGAAGCAGGAGGAGAGAGCAAGAGGGAGAGAGAGAGAGGCAGGGACAAGCTGATCAAGATCGACAATGACAAGGGGCAAGCGAGCGAGTAAAGGGGGAAACACAGAAGGATAAAAGCGCGGAGAGAGAATGAGGAGGAGGAAAAGAGGGAGGGAGAAAACAGGGAGAAGAGAGAAATAGAGGGACAAAAGAGAGAAGACGTTGAGAAAAGTTGGGAGGCCGGAAGGGAAGAGAGGGAAGAGAGGGAAGAGAGGGAAGAGAGGGAAGAGAGACGAGCAGTGAAAACCTTATAGCCGAGGATAAGACACACCATGAGAACCGACAAGTCGGAGAGAAAGACGGGAAACGAAGAATAGGGCGAGTAGAAATAGAGAGAAAAAGAGAGAGAGAAGAGGAGACAATGAGGGGTGGAAAAAGAGAGAGAGAGAGAGAGAAAGGAGTAGAGAGCGAGCAAAGATGAGAGAGAGAGAAATGCAAGAGAGAAGGAATGAGAGAGAGAGGGACGAGCAAACACCACACAGAGGTAAGCAGTGAAGTTTTCAGTTGTTCTGATTATCGGAAATGAAGTTGATCACTGTTGGGGGGAGAGAAAAAAAAAAAAAAAAAAAAAAAAAAAAAAAAACCATCACAACCAGAGAAATAAGAGAAAAAAAAAAGAGAACGAGAGAGAGAGAGAGAGTGACGAGCAATACCACACAGCGTTAACCTTCTTCTTGCGTGACTACCTTCTTCCCCCGAATACAACGTACGGTCATTATTGCTGCATCTAGACTGAAAGATACCCCAAATACTTACAGCTATAATGACCGTCCGTTGTATTCAGGGGAAGAAAGGTAGGTAGGTAGCTATAATTTTGTTCTCGTCCAGAAAATGCTCAGGTTTTGACACGTGGCAGTCTTTCAAGAAATGCGCCCGGCTGTGCTCACTGACTGTATCTTTTAGAGTTACATCACTACACTAACCCTTACATATTGATCAATCAATCAATCAATCAATCGATCAATCAATCAATCCAAACAGTCATTAAATCAACCAAGATAGCTATACAAAGGGCATACTCGCACTGTACTTTTGCAACTGAATTTGACCCTAATTGCCTTACTATACATCCAGGAAAGTTTTTACACTGAGTCTGCTCTAATGCATTTCTCCCGCCCTCTACCCAAAACCGTACAACTGGCATTTCCCTCAGACACCGCAGATGAGCTCCCACAGCAAGACCTTTTTATTTTCTGCGTGCGTAACTCCTTTTCATCTTACAAGATTTGCATGCTTTTTCTTTCGACTGCATAATTTTTCCCGGACCTTTCTTGACCTGCACAATTCCCACCAACTGGCCCTCCGTTTCTCGGGCTGCTTTTTTTCTTCTTCTTTTTTCCCCCACACGATTCCCCAGAAACTGGCCCTAAATTAGGGTTTCTCTGAGGAGGAAAGGAGGGGGGGGGGAAGAGGAGGGGGAAGAGGAGGAAGAGGCGGGG